GAACTTAACGTTTTTGCTTTTGAAACTTGACTCTTTTCTAATCACGGTTATTTTTTAATGATGTGGAACTTAAACGTTTTTGCTTTTGAAGCGTGACTCTTTTCTCATCACGGTTATTTCTTAATGATGTGGATTTATTTTTGATTTTTTAATTAAAAATAATCTCAATTAAGAAAAATTAATCAAGGGTGTTTATCGTAATTAACCAGGGGTGTGAAAATATTTGAGTCATTTTTAAAAGATATATGGTATTCTAGTCATATTGGCATAGTTTCATGGGATTTGAGTCATTTTTTCTAAATTTTAAGGGTGGACAAATACAAACCGGATATGGAATGTTGGAGGAGAGAAAATGACACGAAAATTTGAGAACCAAAATAGTTGTTCCATTTACATCTTATTTAAAATTTGAGACGAAAAAAAAAACATGACAAGATAGGATTGGAATGAAAAGAATTTTTGAAAAAAGAATTAGTAATTTGATTACATATAAAAAATTTAAAATTAAGTTTGTGTGTAATATTCTTGATGGTGCATGTATTTGGGCATTAACCAAAGACACCCATATATATATTATTATACATATAATTTTGTGGAAGTTATTTTATTCTTAAAAAGTATAAAATAAATTCAAAAATTAAGATTTTAGGAACAAAGAAAGAAAACATTGTTTGAATCACTCAAAGAAAGAAAATAAATTTGAAAAATATTTAACCAATATGATTACAATATAACTAACAAAAGAATCGGTGGAAATATAATAAATTATTAAAATGGAATTAACAAAAAAGAAAAAAGCCAAAAACGTTGGAAGTTACAATCTCTAATAGTGGGAGAATAAAAAAAAATTCTAACTCAAACTCTAATTCATCATATTCATCATATGTTCCTTGATGTTGGTTTAACTTTTGAATTAACAATTTTATAAAGGATGTACCTCAAAATGGTAAATCAATTATATTTCACTCTAATTGAAACTCAAATTTTAGATTTTTAGTTTGATACATGATTGGTAACATTTTTTACTTATCAATGAGTTAGACTCTTAACTCAAACTAAATCATGGATAACTCATGTCACCAATCACAGCATAAACGTAAGTTTGATTCAACATTTATGTGAGCTGGAGTGTGCATTGCAAAAGATTATACTGGTTGGTGTAGCAGTTTTTCATGTCCGACCATTATATACAACAAAATTGTGTTGCATATTATAAGACGCTTCAGTGACGCCTTATACAAGTTGAAGTTTGCTCAGAGTTAAACACGATAATGACAAAGTTGATAGACAACTTAAATTACAATTAGTAAACCCTTTAAAAGAACCATGTTTAAAAGAACCATGTCAGTTGGGAATATGGGAGAGAAAACCGATTGTGTGTTTTGTGGTTTTCACATTGAAACTCGTGATCATCTTCTTTTCTCTTTCTTCTTTTCAACTTAGGGTAGGAAACTATTGATGTTGAAGCTCTTAGGGATAGATTATTCAGTGGATTGGAATCATCTAGTGCTCCTTCTCTCCAACTCAAACCTTGAGAAAATGAAACTGTTTTTGCTTCGTTACACTTTCCAATCCGTATTATATCACATATGAAGGGAACGGAATAGACGTCGTCATAGAGAATCTCCACTTATATCTCTATGGCTAGTTAAGATGGTCGACAAAAACATGAGAAATCGTTTGAGCTCTATTCGGATAATTGGAGACTCCACTTACGAGAAAGGGATGATTGAATGGCTTGCACAAGACTTTTTACATTGATTAATTCAGTTTAGGATTCTAGAACAATTTTCCGTTGAATAGTAACTCTACATTCATTTAAAAAAAAAAAACATGTTGGAACCAAATGTGATGATGAAGTATTATTGCCCAAAGCCCATAGTGTCCAAACATCCTTGTAATGAAATTCGATGAAGAAGTTTCGTTGCTGAGAAACCAGAATCCCTAATTCCGTCACGATCCGACGTGAAACCAGTTCCCATTTAATTTCCAGGATCAAGAGAAAACCATAGCTGCATACAATCGCTTGCAGCAGACGGATTATGGTTCTTGATGGTGTTGCGAATGGTCTTGAATTGATAAGAGAAGTCGGAGGTCGTTTGGAGTTCCGATCAGTTCTCTCCTTCCATAACTCGTAGATTGAAGCTTGCCAAGCCAGTCTAGAGAGAAATTTGAAGTGATTTTTACCAGCCGTTGTGAGAAGGCCACCAGTCCAAGTCCTAGAGAGTGGATGATATCGCTGAAAAAGGGCTCCAAACTGCCGATGAGTAGCTGCACTGGAAGAAGACGTGGTCTCTTGATTCACATAGAAGACAACGGTGGTCCGTTTGCAATCCCCATGATAGCCTGGTTGGGCATCGGTTGAGAACAAAAAGCCAAGTAAGAGCTTGGTGGTTGGAGATACTCTTCCTACACCAAACTACAGAGTGCCAATTGACAAGGGGCTTAGGAACACGAATCTGTTCGTAGAAGGTATTCCTCACACTTCCATTAATAGACCTTTGTAGCTTATCATCGACAGGACCATGTTTGTTAAATGTATGTGGACTTGCTCCTTTCTAAGAGATCCAGCTCCCATGTCTCCAGAGAAGCTGAGATGTTAATACCAGATAATCTTGGCCCCTGCTTTCCTGAATAGGAGATTAGAGATCCAAATGCAGTCCATGGATCAAGCCAGAACCTGCAGTTTCTTCCCTTTCCAGGTATTACCCTGACCCATTGAATAATGGCTTCTCTTAATCGTAGAACCTCTTTAAATTCTAATAGAATATTATGGTCCAATGTTACTACTGTCTCAAAAGTTCCAGGTTAAATTTATTTGTAGATTTTCGTTTGGTTAGAAACCTAGTGGTTAAACGTTTTAAGGTTTCTTAACATTGAAAAACAAAAATTTGTAGTATTGCGTAAATAACAACTAGAAAAATTCCATCGTTTTCGATGACTGAAGAATTGGTTTCCGCAATAAAATGAGTTGAAAGAAAGAAAACATTCTAGTCCCAAAATAGCACGAGACAACTAAATCTTCGAGCTTCCAAAAATAGATTGATGCATAATACAGAGAAGACCAAAAATAGAGATCAATGGCATAAACAGTTCTTTGTCCTATAATCCTCCCCTCCTTGTCTTTCTCTTTGTTTCCCCCAAACCATCAAGAACGTAAAAACTCATGTTTCATCTTTATTCTGCATGATCATATTGATTCACGCAGAAACCAAGCTTCTTTGTTTGGCTTCACAATGGCATCATCCACGCCTCCTCAGACTTCAAAGAAGGTCCGTAACAATTCTGGTAGCGGCCAAACCGTCAAATTCGCAAGGAGAACATCTAGCGGACGATATGTGAGTTTATCTCGAGATAATATTGAATTGTCGGGAGAGCTCTCTGGAGACTATTCTAACTACACGGTGCACATACCTCCAACACCGGATAACCAGCCTATGGCCACCAAAGCGGAAGAGCAGTACGTGTCCAATTCTCTATTTACTGGTGGTTTCAACAGTGTGACGCGTGCGCATCTTATGGACAAGGTCATTGATTCAGATGTGACACACCCTCAGATGGCTGGTGCTAAAGGCTCTTCGTGTGCCATGCCTGCTTGCGACGGAAAGGTCATGAGAGATGAGAGAGGAAAGGACGTGATGCCATGTGAATGCCGGTATATATTCATATATTAATCACCATCATTAGTTACATTTATTTATCTGTTGCACAACACGATGAGATATCTGACCAGCATGGTGCTTGTTTAGGTTCAAGATCTGCAGGGATTGCTTCATGGACGCTCAGAAAGAGACGGGTCTTTGCCCAGGATGCAAGGAACTATACAAAATTGGGGACCTAGACGATGATACACCTGACTTTTCTAGTGGTGCTCTCCCTTTACCAGCTCCAGGAAAAGATCAACGTGACAACAACAACATGTCTATGATGAAAAGGAACCAAAATGGTGAATTTGATCAAAGTAGATGGTTGTTTAATGAGACGCAAGGCACGTATGGTTACGGTAATGCGTATTGGCCTCAAGATGAAATGTATAATGATGATATGGATGAAGGAATGAGAGGCGGCATGGTGGAAACAGCTGACAAGCCATGGCGGCCGCTGAGCCGACGCATCCCGATCCCAGCCGCCATTATAAGCCCGTACAGACTACTAATCGCTATTCGTTTTGTGGTGCTATGTTTTTTCCTCACTTGGAGGATCCAAAACCCTAATGAAGACGCAATATGGTTATGGCTCATGTCCGTAATATGCGAGCTTTGGTTTGGATTTTCATGGATTCTCGACCAGATCCCAAAGTTGTGCCCCATAAACCGTTCTACCGACCTAGAAGTTCTCCGTGACAAGTTCGACATGCCTTCTCCCTCCAACCCAACAGGGAGGTCTGATCTCCCAGGCATTGACCTCTTTGTGTCCACCGCAGATCCAGAGAAAGAGCCACCTCTTGTCACCGCCAACACTATTCTTTCCATCTTGGCCGTTGATTATCCGGTGGAGAAAGTGTCATGCTATCTGTCGGATGATGGAGGAGCCCTTCTCTCATTCGAGGCTATGGCAGAAGCTGCCAGCTTTGCGGACCTGTGGGTGCCTTTTTGTCGCAAACATAACATTGAACCTCGAAATCCAGATACGTATTTCAGTTTGAAGATAGACCCAACAAAGAATAAGAGCAGGATTGATTTTGTCAAGGATAGGAGGAAGATCAAGAGGGAGTATGATGAGTTCAAGGTTCGCATCAACGGCCTCCCCGACTCAATACGGAGGAGATCGGATGCGTTCAATGCAAGAGAGGAAATGAAAGCTCTAAAACAGAAGAGAGAGAGCGGAAGTGATCCAACAGAGCCTGTCAAAGTCCCAAAAGCCACGTGGATGGCCGATGGCACCCACTGGCCGGGAACATGGGCAGCCTCTGCTAGAGACCATGCCAAAGGTGACCATGCTGGGATTTTGCAGGTCATGTTGAAACCACCCAGTGCCGATCCTTTAATCGGAAATAGCGACGACAAAATCATTGATTTTTCAGATACAGACACTCGTCTACCGATGTTCGTGTATGTGTCACGTGAGAAGCGGCCTGGCTATGATCACAACAAGAAAGCTGGAGCCATGAATGCACTTGTTCGTGCCTCTGCTATTCTCTCGAATGGACCTTTCATCCTTAATCTCGATTGCGATCATTACATTTATAACTGTAAGGCCATTCGAGAAGGCATGTGTTTTATGATGGATAGAGGTGGCGAAGACATTTGCTACATTCAGTTTCCACAGAGATTTGAGGGTATCGATCCTTCTGACAGATATGCCAACAACAACACTGTCTTCTTTGACGGTAACATGCGTGCTCTTGACGGCGTCCAGGTGAATTTTAAATCCAAACCAACTTTATATATACCCTCTGGTTTGTTCATGCATTAACAATTTAGATTTGTGCAGGGACCAGTTTATGTTGGAACAGGTACTATGTTTAGGCGCTTTGCTCTCTATGGTTTCGATCCACCCAACCCTGACAAGCTTCTTGAGAAGAAAGAATCAGAGACAGAGGCTCTAACCACCAGTGACTTTGACCCGGACCTTGATGTCACACAGCTTCCCAAGCGCTTTGGCAACTCCACACTACTAGCTGAGTCGATTCCTATTGCAGAGTTCCAAGGTCGTCCATTGGCAGACCATCCTGCTGTCAAGTTTGGTCGTCCTCCTGGAGCCCTTAGAGTCCCTCGTGACCCTCTTGATGCCACCACTGTCGCGGAGTCTGTCTCCGTAATCTCTTGTTGGTATGAGGATAAAACAGAGTGGGGAGATAGAGTCGGGTGGATTTATGGGTCGGTGACAGAGGACGTGGTGACAGGGTACCGCATGCACAACCGTGGGTGGCGCTCCGTGTACTGTATCACCAAGAGAGATTCTTTTAGAGGCTCTGCGCCCATCAATCTCACAGATCGTCTTCACCAGGTGCTGCGTTGGGCCACCGGCTCCGTTGAGATCTTCTTCTCTAGAAACAACGCCATTCTCGCTTCCAAACGTCTCAAGTTCCTCCAACGTCTCGCGTACCTCAATGTTGGAATATATCCCTTTACCTCTCTGTTTCTCATCCTCTACTGTTTTCTTCCGGCGTTCTCTCTTTTCTCTGGACAGTTTATCGTGCGGACGCTAAGTATCTCCTTCTTGGTTTACCTCCTCATAATAACCATCTGTTTGATTGGCTTGGCGGTTTTGGAGGTCAAGTGGTCAGGCATTGGACTAGAAGAATGGTGGAGAAATGAACAGTGGTGGCTTATCTCCGGAACAAGCTCTCACCTATACGCGGTGGTCCAAGGAATCCTCAAAGTTCTAGCAGGGATAGAGATCTCCTTTACCTTGACGACCAAGTCAGGTGGAGATGACAACGAGGACATATACGCAGATTTGTACATAGTGAAATGGTCGTCGCTAATGATACCGCCCATAGTGATAGCGATGGTGAACATAATAGCGATTGTGGTGGCGTTCATGAGGACGATATACCAAGCGGTGCCGCAGTGGAGCAAGCTTATCGGAGGAGCCTTTTTCAGTTTTTGGGTGTTGGCGCATTTGTATCCATTCGCAAAAGGATTAATGGGACGGAGAGGGAAAACTCCAACCATAGTTTTCGTGTGGGCTGGTCTAATCGCCATCACCATCTCTCTACTCTGGACTGCCATTAACCCTAACACCGGCCCTGTTGCTGCCGCTGAAGGCGTTGGAGGCGGTGGTTTCCAATTCCCTTAAAACACA